CTTCTCCCATCTCAATTACAGCGATGCCATTTTCCCAGTTGGACAGACCCAACCCCTGGAGTCATCCTTTAACTTTTTATTGAGGTATAACTTACATTCAGTGATATGCTCTGACCTTAAATATACAGCTTAATAAACTCTGACAAATGGTGGCGTGGAGGAGGGTATGGGGGGGCGATAAATGGTAACAGAATAAAATAAAATGATTTGTCACTGTAAAAAACAAAAAAGAAAAGAAACTGACAAATGCTTGTACAAGCTACCACCTATCAACAGAAAACATTTCCATCACCCTCAAAGTTCCCTTGTGCCTCCTTCCAGCTAATCTCCATGCCCACCTCACCCCCCACCAGAAATAACCACTGATCTTATTTCAGCATAGGCTAGTTTTGCCTATTCTAGAACTGCACATAAATGGAATCACTCAGTGTGTAATATTTGTGTGTCTGGCTTCTTTTGCTCAGCATAATGTCTTTGAGATTCATCCTTATTTTTTTGAGTATCAGTGCTTCCTTTCTTTTTATTGCCCAGTAATCCTCCATTGTATGCATATACTAGTATTATAATTGGTCCATTCCTTGCAATCGTGCTTGACTTGTTTCTGCTCCATTAGCAATTCCTGTGGCTCAGTCTTCAAATACAACATGAATCTGACCACTTCTCCCACATGCTGTTACTCAACTAGTTCTTGCTATCATCTCCTCTTTCCTAATCAGCCTTTCTGCTTCCCTCCCTTCTGTCTATTTTCTACAGCAGCCAGAGTGATTATCTTAAACAACATATATGATCATATCACTGACTTTTAATAAAGAATAAAACCTTCTAATAAAAAATAACATTCAAACTCGAAGGACCTTGGCGATCTGGTTCCTGGCTACTTCTCCAACATCATCTCCTACTCATCTCTCTCTCACACATTGAACATTAGCTATGCTAGTGTTTCTTCCTTCCTTTCTTTTTTTATTTTGTCTTCTAACTTAAATTGATTTTATTCAGCTCTTAACTTACTCTCACCTGGGGTTCTTAAAACCCATATTGAAACCTTTTAGGCATTGAGAAGCACTCCCAATTGTTGAATTGAAACCTAGTCTTTAAATTTGTCACACTCATAGACAGGTTCCTGCCTCAGGCCCTTTGCATGTGCTCGCATGCCACACCAGTGGTCTTCTCATTATTCAGGCCTTAGCTGCAAAGACCCTCCACACAGAGAAAGCTTTCCTGACCAGTCTTATTGAAGTGGGCCCCATATCTATCTGCTATTCTTATCACTGTACCTATCTCACATAACACTTAATAAAAAACAACATATATTACATAAATTAAATAAATGCTTATATAGAGAGGTTATTTGTCTTGCCTTCTTTGCCAGAATGTAAGCTCCATGAAAACAGGGACCAAATCTGTTTGATTTATTCCCATGGACCCAATGCTATGCCCTGAATGACTGAATAAATTAACCTCACTTTTCTTTCCATATAATCATGAAAGAGGTGGCAGCATCATTGCTGGGTATGAAGTTTTTGGCTCCAGCAGTCCATCTGAGCTGCTGTCAGCCATTGAACAGGTGGCTGAGAAGGCCGAGGAAGGCCTTCAGAAGCTGTTTCCACTGGAAGATGACTCCTTCAGAGTATTTGGAAAAGGTAACACTAAATTCCCACCCTCTGCTTAGGAGAGTCCTTTAATTAGTTGCTCATTCGTGTCTTTAGGAGGCAGATTGGAGAGGTTTCTGATACAGAATTATTCTAAGACTGACTTTCAGTAGAAACAGGCAACTGTTTATGATGAAACTCGACTTCAGCCTGACTAGTTCAAATCCTTGCTAATCGGCGATCTGATCTCCACTGTAGTAAATGTTGTGGAAGACTGATTTCACCGCAGGCTCTGATGGAATGATTCAGCAATAGTTTACTGGTAGTCATGTTGAAATATCTCTGGGGTTGGCAATATTCCTGAGTAATAATTCAAGGAGCCAAGGAAAGAATACATATATCTAGGTCTTTAACACTCACACAAACATACACACACACACACAAACAAACAAACAGAGACACACACATACTACTTTCCTTCAGGTATTTTTCCCCACTTACTTCTTTACACCCAATCTTAAACCTCTGCTATAAAAATGTGTGCCACTTTCAACAACACTCTTTCAATAAATATCTACTAAGTGTTTAAAGTATCTAGGCACTTAGGACACAGCAATGGGGAAAACAAACCCAAAACACAGCTCTTGTTGGTCGTCCATTCAAGGTCTCCTTTTCCTAGTCCCAGTCATGGGAAGACTGTATTATTAAGGGTCAGCTGCAAGAGTAACTAGTGTCTGGTCACTATGTGAGAAGCTTTTGCAGGATTCAAAGTAGGATATGTCACCCCAAAATGGCAACTGCCCTGCTTTGTTCCATAGCATTTTGAAGATTTTTCTGGTTTTCTAGCACTCCCTTAAAGAGTAAAAATATTTCCTGGGAGTGGTCATGCCCTGTCTTATTTTCACCTAACACGTATTAGTTGATAGCCCACTAAAAGTAAGATCGTTGGCAAAGATCAGACACCTGGAGGGAGAAGGGCCAGAGTCAGGGAGGGTAGGGCATGGAGAAGGAGAAAAAGGTGCTGATAGGGCTGAAACTGGGCACCAAAGACAAGCTTCTCCTGAATATTTGTGGGTATTGTCTCTAAGAATATGGTTTCTAATGCACAACACTATGGTGCATAGAGAGTGCCAGGATATTCAGAGACATTTTCCCTCTCTGTTTCCATTCTCTTCCAGTTCAGTGTAATAGCATTGCCTTTGGATTTGGGTTTAAGAATGATGAGTATACTCTTCCTTGTAGCAGTGGCTACACCGGGAACATCACAGCCAAGTGCCAGCCCTCTGGGTGGCAGGTCATCAGGGAGACATGTGTGCTTTCTCAGCTGGAAGAACTGAAGAAGGTAAAACATTTCCACCTTGCAGACTTGCCCTGGTTTTGAGTTTCACAGTGGGCACCCACCACTGAGCATGGCCGGGTGGAGGGTAAAATATATCAAATTGTCGCATTTATCAATATGCAGAACATGAGGGTGACATCAGACCCTGGTAAACCCAAGGCATTTGGGCATGAGTAGCAGAGTCTAGGTGGCAGCTGAGAAGGTCAGAAAGTGTCAGAATTGATGGTTTTCATGTGGAGGGGTGCTGCAATAGAGTGAATAAATGCTGAAGGAGTCTGCAATAGATGGCAGAACAGCAACTAAGCTGGAATCAGAAATCCAGAAAGCCTGGGAATCAAAGACCCAAGTGAAGGTGTGAGTCCAAAGTTATAGACTTAGTATAAGTGAGAATGTCAGAAACCAGGGCAGGGGTTGGGATCAGCCAAAGGTGAACCATATAGAGCAATAGAACTGCAATAGATTCTAAGGGTCATCTGGTTTATCAAACTCCTTTTATAGATTAAGAAATGAAAGACTAAGGGACTAACAGTTGGTCCCTCTGGTAGCAATAGTGTTGAATTAGAAACATGGTCCTTTGACTCCCAGTCCAGGACTGTGACCTTCACATGATGCTGTCTTTGGGAAGTACAAGTACTTAAGACAAGGCAGATATATAGAAGCAAATGGTGAGGAATTAGAAGTCAAGTCACAGGAAAGAGGGACTCCAAGACTAGTTCACAGACACTGTTCTGCAGATAGATCTCCATATTGAGCAGAACTTCTGTCCTGGCCTGAGATTCTGGTACTGCAGTAGGGAAACTCAGAAAGGTATATCTTAAAGGACTGTGGAATGTTCACTTCTCCCTCCTTGGACCTCAGTTTCCTCATCTGTAAACTGGGGAGGGAGATTGGACCAGATGGCCTCTGGGGTCTATCCTTGCTCTTGCCTTCTTTGCCTCAGATATGGACATGGGCCATGGTGAGGGTGAGGGCAGGCAGATCC